AAAAAAAAAAAAAAAAAAGTCAGACTATAAATAGAGTCACAGCGTTATTATAGAGATAGAGCTCACACACCATATAATTTTACCCATTTAAAGCGTACAATTCAGTGGTTTACCGTATATCTACAGAGTCGCGCACCCATCCCCGCTATTTACTTTTAGAACATTGTCATCACCGCATGTGCCCATGGTCACTCCCTGTCCTCCCTCTCTCCCCAGCCCCTGGCCACCACCAGTCTACTTCCAGTCTCTGATTTGCCGTTCTGGACACTTCGTAATCATATGACATGTCTTTTTATGACGAGCTTCTTTCATGTAGCATGAAAGTTTTCAAGGTCTGTCCACGTCGGGCCACGTATCAATACTTCGCTCCCATTTTCTTGCTGTATGGGTAGGCCTACTCCCATTTTCCTACTGTATGGGTAGGCCACATTTTTAAAATCCATTGGTCAGCTGGTGGCCATTTTGGCTGTTTCTGCTTTGGGGCTATTCTGAGTAATGCTGCTACATGAACATTCAGGTACAAGATTTTCTGTGGACGTACGTTTTCAGCGCCCAGGAGTGGAGTCGCTGAGTCTCACTGTAACTCATGGGATACCATGTTTAACATTTTGAGGAACTGCCAGACTGTTCCAAAGTGGCTGCACCATTTTACAATCCCATCAACAATGTTGAACTATACATTTTTAAGCAACAGAGCAGTGTATTACTTAGGGATGCAAAAGATAGGAAATCCACCTCCTAGTTGGGTTATGAAAAAAAAAATCTTTTTTAGTAAATGAATGTATAGGTCACAGGACAAAAGGAGCAGACCTTAGCTTCCAATGGGGTTCAGAGTGTGAACAGCCTTATTGGGGCTTGGTCTCCGCGGCTCTTCCTTTCTCTGTGTTGGCTCCATTCTCAGCCCCTCACACCAGCAGGATGCCTGCTGGCATCTCCAGCTTCCCATCTTCCTTTCTCCCACAGTTCAAACAGAAGACTGGAATTGAGTTTTAACCAGTCCACATTGGGACAGATCACTCCAAATGCAAGGGTTGGAATATACTGATTGGCCAGACTTGGGTTGTGTGCCAGCCCCTAAGCCAACTCTCTTGGATGTAGCATCAGGGAGAGGTGAGAAATTCTCTAGCCAGAAGCTGGGAGAATATATGCTGGTGAACAGAAACAGAAGACGCAGCATAAGACATACTAATAGGATGATGTCAGTAGCTTTGCCAACACAATTCTTCCAGGAGGAATTCAAGTGTTTCTGAACTAACTTGACAGCATAGTCACATGAAAAGGAACTGAGTTTCGGAGTCGAGCAGACTTGAGATAGAATTTTGGCTGTTCTTTTCACCAGCTATGTAATCTTAGAAAATATCATGTTCTTGAATTTCAATGTTTTTTTTTTATTTTTATTTATTTATTTATTTTTAAAGATTTTATT